GCCCAGCTAATATCTTTCTATTTTTAGTAGAGACGGGGGTCTCACTCTTGCTTAGGCTGGTCTCGAACTCCTGAGTTCAAGCAATCCTCCTGCCTTGGCCTCCCAGAGTGCTAGGATTACAGGCGTGAGCCACCGTGCCCGGCCTCATATTGCATTCTTGAAATAGCTTCTGTATTTGTTTTACTCATTACCATATGCTCTTCAAAACAGGTGCTGGCACCTTTTCATTCCTTATACCTAGTGCCTACCTCTATCTGCATACGTATTACAATCCCTCCCTCTCTTCTCTCCTTCCTTTAGTAAAGATTTGTTAAGTATCTACCAAATGCCAGTCACTCTGCTAGGTCCTTGGGATACAAAACAAGACACAGTCTCTGGCTGCATGGTGCTTATATTTCTGAGAGAAACAGACAATTAGTTAGTAAAAAAGAAATAGATTTCAGAGCAAAGAATATCACCAGAGATAAAGAAGTTCATTTCATAATGATAAAGGGGTCAATTCATCAGAGGTCATAATAATCCTAAATGTTTATGTACTATTAGGTACAGAGCTTGGAAATACATGAAATAAAGACTGATAGAAATACACGGAAAAATAGACAAATCCACAATTATAGTCAGAGATTTCAATATCCTTTTCTCAATGATTGATAGAATAAGCAAACAAAATCACCAAGGAAATAGAAGACTTGAATAACACTATCAACCAACTTGACCTAACTGACATTTATAGAACATCCAACAATAGCAAAACACATATTCTTTTCAAATGTACATATAACATTTGCAAAACAGACCATATTCTGGCCCAATAAAACAAGGGTCAATAAATTGAAAAAGATTCAAGTCATACAAAGTATACTCTCTGACCACAGTGGAATTAAATAAAAAATTAATACTAGGCTGGTCCGAAGGTAGTGAGTTATCTCACTTGATTGTTCACAGTCAGTTACAGATTGAACTCCTTGTTCTACTACTTAACCCCCCTCCTCACTACTGCACTTGACTAGTCTTAAAAAAAAAAAAAATTAATACCAGAAGGATATCTGGAGAATCCCCAAATATTTAGAAACTAAGTAACATATTCCTAAATAATCCATGGATCAAAGAAGAAATCAGTAGGGAAAGTAGAAAGTATTTTGAAATGAATGAAAATGAAAATGCAACCTATCAAAATATGTGGGATGTCACTAAAGCAGTACTTAGGGAGAAATTTATAATGCCTGTATTGGAAAAGAAGAAAGATCTCAAATCAATACCACAACTTCTACCTTAAGAAACAAGAAAAATCAGCCTGAGCAAGAGCAAGACCCTGTCTCTACAAAAAATACAAAAATTAGCCTGGTGTGGTGGTGCACACCTGTGGTCCAAGCTAGTTGGGAGGTTGAGGCAGGAGGATCGCTTGAGGCCAGGAGTTTGAGGTTGCAATGAGCTAGCCTGAGCAACAGAGCAAGAGACCCTTTCTCAAAAAAAAAAAAAGAAAGAAAGAAAGAAAGAAAAAGAAAAAGATAAACTCAAAGTAAGCAGAATAGATTTTCTCCCAGTATTCACACTTGTGTAGTCCCCTGTCACATTGTACCACAGATGGTCTGTGTGACCAGTAGAATATGGCAGAAGTGATGGTATGTCACTTTCTAGATTAGGTTTAAAAGACACTGTGGCTTCCATCTCAAAAACTCTCTTGGATCATTTGCTCTGGGGAAGCCATGTCATGAGCAGCCTTATGGGGAGGCCTCTGTGATGAGGAGCTGAATCCTCCCACCAACAGCCAAGTGAGTGTGCTTGGGAGCAAATACTCAAGCCCCTTCAGACTGCAACCTCATGAGAAATCCTGAGCCAGAAGCACCCAGTGAAGCCACTCCTGGATTCCTGACTCTCAGACACTGTGAGATGACCGAGATGATAAAAAATTTTGTTTTTCTTGTTGTTGTTTTTTTTTTAGAGACAGTGTCTCACTCTGTGGTCCAGGCTGGAGTGCAGTGGAGGGATCATAGCTCACTGCAACCTTGAACTCCAGGGCTCAAGCGATTCTCCTGCCTCAGCCTCCTGAGTAGCTAGGACTACAGGCACGTGCCACCATGCCTGGCTAATTTTTAAAAAATTTTTTGTAGAGACACGGTCTTGCTATGTTGCCCAGGCTGCTCTGGCCTGAAGCAGTCCTCCCACCTCGATGTCCCAAAGTGCTGGGATTACAGGCCTGAGCCACAGTGCTTGGCCAATGTTTGTTGTTTTAAGCTGTTGAGTTTTGGGGTAATGTGTAACACAAAAATAGACAACCAATACACTTAGGGAGTGAAAGTAGATAAAGAAGAGTACAGCACTGAGACCTGGGGCACTCCAATACATAGAGGCTGGAAAGGGGAAAAGGAGCTAGCAAATAAAGCAGAGAAAGGAAAATCAAGAGGCTCTAGTGCATGGAAGCCAAGTGAAGAAAGTGCTTCAAGGAGAGAATAAAAACTACATCAAATGCCATTGCAAGGTTGGGAAAATTTGGACTGAAGCTTGATGAATGATTTTCCAAATTGAGATCTTTGGAGGCTTCGGCAACAGTAATTTCAGTGGAGTATGGGGATAAGAGATTGATTGAAGTGCACTGAGGAGAGCAAGTGGAAAGGCAACCTTTTTAAGGAGTTTTACTCAAAAAGAGGGCAAAGAAATGGTGTGGTAGCTAGAGGGAGATGTCCAGTGAAGATTTTTAAAATATGAGAATCTGCATATTTGGTTGCTGATGGAAATAATCCTGTATCCGGATAGGGAAGCTGATTATGTAAAACAGAGAAGATACTTGAATGCGTA